CATACGGGCCTCTAAATATGGTGTCTATCTCGTGGATAGGGGCCTCATCCTGGGCTTGTCGGTTTCTTCGGTGCCTGTGTTCTTCCCTAGGTCTCTCCGTCTCATATTCTTTTCGTCGCGGGGAAACATCCCTTTGACGGGGAGCAGCCTCCTCATGCCCACGTTGGTTGTTGCGCCTGGGCAGTGACCTGTTTGCTTGGGGCGATTCATTTCTGTGCCTGGGGGGTTCCGCTTTGAAACGGTGCGCAAAGTCTCGACAATCTGCCGTGTCGTGTCCATAGGACCTGTGGTGTACACAGTATCCTGGTGGGTTCTAGTTCGACCTATTTCTAGGTCCTGAACCCCAGCCTCCACCTTTCCCTCTACGGGATCCTTCGAGGGTTTCCATCTGCTGGGTGTTAATGATTGGGTTGATATCCTCATATGCCAAGGTAGGAACTGCGTTTAAAGTGGTGGTGGCAAGTGCCTGGCCGGAACTCTCATTTTCAGCCTGGTTCATTTGGTAGTCCATCAGGTGGGAGGTCGGTCCCCTTGCACGTTGCCTCTGAGGATGTGGGAGACCTCGACTTGCCCTATTCCTATGCTCGATCAATTCTTCATTGATGATTTCCCGCCTCATCATCTCGAGTAGGGCATCGTAGGTGGTGGGATCTTGGTTTGGTACGTCCCTCCAAAATAAGGTATTCATGTTCAGGCCTCCCCTTAAAGCAGATAGTGCCTCACGGTCGGTAACTTGCACGCAATACGTCATTTCGTCTGTGAAGCGAGATAGGAAGCTCTTTAGGGATTCCCCATGTGCTTATCTAATGTCTTGGAGATGCTGGATGGGGGCCTCTCCTTCTTTGCTTACAGCGAACCTCTTCAAGAATGTTGTCTTGAACTCAGGCTAGCTTCTTATGCTCCCCAGTGGCAACTTGCTATACCATATTTCAGCCGCTCCACTAAGTGTTAAATGGAAATCTCTGCACTTCACAGCTGGGGTGGCGCCCCTTAGGCTCATGTGGGTTTTATAAGCATTCAGGTGCTTCTCTGGGTCGTCTCTTCCGTCATATTTTGGTATCTTTGACATTACATAGTGACTTGGAACCTGGGCATTTCTTAGTTCCCTTGAGAACGGCAAATTTTCATCATCATCATCCAAGTCACAAGATCTCGATTGTTCATCTGAATCATATTCCTCGGCCTCTTGCCGTGGTAATTGGTGAGAGGTTCCGGGACGGTTCCTAGCCTCTTCCTCCCTCCTCTGGCGCCTATTTTTAGGCTGAGCAACATTGGGGACATTTTCATGTCTTTCTTTCGGTTGCTGGGGCATCGGAGGTGAAGGCTGTGGTCTTGTCCAAGACTGATGTGTCTGCTGTTGCCTAAGCCTCGGTTCAGCGGGGCTGATTCTGTCAAATACACCGTCTGCCCTCCTACGTCTTGACTCTTGCTCCTATGGAGGTGGGAAGTTATCATGGTTCAATGGGACCTCGGTGGGTTGGCCAGAAGTGTAGTTGGAGGAAACATCAACTTTCACTTCCCTTTCAAATGGGCTTCTACCTCGGCTATAGTTCGGCGAGGCAGTTCTAAGACTTTGGATTTCGTCTTCTTGCTGGTAGTGCCCCTGAGGGGCGTATGGAGGAATGATGAAGTTCCCCTGGCCTTGCATTTGGGCCATGAGCTCCCTCATAGCCAAGTTTTGGTTAGCAATGTCTCTCATGTTGGCCGCCATGGTAGCCATTTCTCTCGACAGTCGGGCCGTTGCCCGCATTCCACCTCTTCTTTGGTGGTGGTGGTGTCTTTGCCGAGCTGCTGGGGCAGCGGGTGGAGGAGGCACATTTGCGTTTTCTCTTACCTTTCCGGGGGGTGTGTCTTTGTTTGAACTCATTATATTTTCGCCTGACTTCAGATTTTGCTAAGTTGTGAGGCTTCCTCTTGTTCTTTTTCAAGAACAAATCCTTTTTAAAGGGGTTGTCCAAATGTTCTTCAATAAGCTTCCACCACAAGGTTGTTCGTGGTTATGGTATGGCTTCCCATAGACGGCGCCAATTTGTTGACCCCAAAAAGTGTTGCCAACAGATGTCGAACCCACCCGCGCACATATAAGCGAAGGTCCAACACGCTGAGACACGTGGACGGTCTAGAACGAAAGGATCAGGAGCATGGAAGTAACTCAACGACGCGGGACGAGAACATTCGAAATCCAGCGGGATGTTCGTAATCTGATTGTATAATAATTACCAATCGGTGCTTGCAAATGTGAATGTAAATATGTATGAACTCATATTGTGTTGTAAGATAATATGAAAGAGAGAATAAAGTGTGGTCTTTTGTATTGATTCTTGCATTAGGCTTTCAATGTTATACAAGGGAAGTATTTATAGTGTTACATGTGAAATGACAGCTGTTAGATGAGGTGATACGTGGCCTCATCTTCTCAATTCAAACATCCAATCCTAAGTATCACTCTTGACTTACTAGCTTGCTGCGTATTTATTGTTTGTGCAGAGCCCCCATGCTACTGATAAGACCTGACATATGCACTCATGACAAACGTTCCATCAATCATTCTAACCAGATCCTTATGTAGGAGATCTCTTGGGAGAAGTGACCATGGAGGACGTCCCTTCATGGTTCGGAGGCTTCTGCTAGACACGTAGTACTTCCGCTATAGGGCTTCGGTAATCTTCATAGGCCTCGACAGATGAGGCTCGGTTAGTTTCACTAGCTTAGGTATATGGGTCTCGGCATAAAGGGCTTCGGCCATTCAGCCCACTTCGGCTAGAGTGCCACGTGGTTTGGATTGAGTTGGCCATAGGCCCATGTCGGTTGGCCAAGTATGACAACACGTAACAGATATATCATTTTAAAGGAGACACGCATATTTATATTAAGAATTATGTTACGATGTTAATATCAATCTAGGTGATAAAACACAATAAGTCATATTAAATCCCCAACTTTAATTGATCCAATGTCATGCGTTAAAATAGTGTTGCTCGATAACATAATTTATCAAATGATATTGAATACCAATAGTGCTAAATAGCATTATACTTTGCGTTTGATTGTTCAATTAAACGACTATAATGAAGTTAATTAAATCACAAATCATCAACATTTGGGTTTGGTTACTACTTGCTTACTCAGAAATAAATGGTTATCGAATGCTCGCCCATTTTTGAAAAAAATTACACATCCATCATCCGTTTCACTTCCATCATCCGTTTCACTTCCATCCATCTAACTAGGCAAAAATCTCAAAGTGGCAGACGTAATTCCTACGTGGCCACTAACACAATAAATATTGACAAGTGGCCACTAAAAATTGAATGAAACGTAGCCCTTTTCCCCTCTAAAACGCTTTCTTCTCAGAAATTAGGCATTTTTGTATCTTCTTCCAAATTTGACTATAAATTTTCCAAAGCAAAATCTTATATAAAACTACATAAACATGAAAAGCCACAAATTTTCTTGAAAAATTAACAAAGAAAAACATTATGGACAAATCTCAGTTTCTCCCTTTTTATTCTCATGTTTTTTATTTATTCATTCATTCTGCAAATTCTTCATGCCCCATTGATTTCAATTATGTTGAAACCTTCCCATGGGACACGACCCTTTGCCAGGAACCTGTTCAAATCGATTGCTGCCACACTCTTTGCAGCGTTTTCAGCATGGGATTTACCCAATACCTCAACGAAAGCTCAATGTTCTATCTCCCAACTGAGAATTCTTCATCTTCTTACATTGCCAACTTTGAAGAAAAGCTGTCTAATGCATCCATGTCTCAGAATTCTTTCAGTTCGTGCTTTAATGATACAAGTGAGTTTGTTAATGGGCCTTCAAATTGTGTTGGAATCACAACTATACAAGATTGGATTGAAAAGGTTGGACCATCAAGTCTACTGGATTCATCTTGTAATGAAGACTTGACAGGATTGACTCGTTGTAGTTTGTGTTTAGATGCAGGAATGCAAGTGACTTCATTCCTAATTTCATTAGATCACAATTCCTCCAAATGCACCCCCCACCATTTATTCCAAGTTGATGAAGATTCTTCCATGAGGAGGTATGAGAAGAGGCAAAATTTCCTGATTTTCGCTGGAAAAGGATTTGGGAAAATGAACTAGGTTTTAAATTGGGAAAATCAAAGTTGAAGATTTGGAAGAAGATACATTGTTTGGGGAGAAATACCTAATTTTCCGGGCAGAAAGCATTTTTGGAAAGGAAGAAAATGTTGTTTGGAGGAAAAAGGTTACGTTTCATTCAATTTTTAGTGACCACTTATCAATTATTAACGGTGTTAGAGGCCACGTAGGAATTCTGTCTGCCACATGGAGATTTTTGCCTAGTTGGATGGATGGAAATGAAACGGGTGATGGATGTGTAATTTTTTTCAAAAGTGGGTGAGCATTCGGTAATCATTTATTTTTGAGTGAGCAAGTAGTAACCGAACCTAAATATTGGTGATCGGTGATTTAATTAACTCACTATAATGATATTTCGACGCCGCATCGGTATCCACAACGGTGCCTTAGCCACACATCAAGCGTTGCGACGCCACATCTCTGTTGGCTTACTTTTGTGGTGCCACCTCTAGGGTTAGTTTCCCCTCTTCCTTCCTTTGATGTCGGAATTAGACTCTTTTGCCGTCTCTTCGTTCCTCTTTTCTCTTTGATTAATGTCAATAGCTTGTTTCTCCCATTTTTCCATGATTTGCACATCTCATCAATCTTATAAAATAACATTAATAAATACATTAAAAACATTCAATACTCATAAGATATAGCACATAATCAAATTAAAATAATATAAAATTCATGAGTAAAATACTCGTCAATATTTCTTACACTTTTTCTAGTTTAATTAAGTGGTTACGACTTTGAACAAACATAAACAAATAAGAAAAGCTAATATTAAAATAGAATCAAGCAAAGAATTTCTTCCTTTTTTCCCCCTATTATTTAAAAACCTCTCAATGTTCTTGTCCGACAAATCATCTCACAACACACACAAAATGACAGGAGCAAACTTCACTTCATTTTCAATATAATGTATCCATAGTTGATTACAAATACAGACGATTACATAATAAATTTGATTTAAAATCAAGTTTAGAAAGTCATATTATATTGAAACCCTTTATGCAAGTAAAAATTTTTCTTCTCGAAGCTAGTTCTTCTGCATTTTACAGTCTGTAGTAATTCGTTAACGTCTTCCCATCCAACTCCTTTGAGAAGAATCGTTTCATGTACTCTGCAAATGTGAAGTGCTGGTAATGTGCCGGTTTTGCATCGGATAACAGCTCCGATAAAGGTCCAAACATTTTATCTCTCAGGCTCGGATTGAAGAAAACTGCCACAGATACACGAGGTTCTTTACACGGGTTGGCTAATACCCTGTGCTCCACACTTATGTACCTGTCATTTGACATGATCTGCAATGGAGAAAGAAATAATTATTACAAAAATAATAATAATTTTAGAGTATTTCCAAAAAACTCTTTATTTTTAAAGAGCATAACTGTCATTTGGAGAGCATATACATTTAGAGAGTTAAAATTTTAAAATACTCCAATAACTTCTTTATATCTAATACTTAATTTTTACCACTAGCAAAAAATATTTATTATTTTTCTATATCTTTTATTTTAACTAGTTTTTTTATAGATTAAATTATTATTTTCTCACATTGAAAATTAAAATACTTCGAATATATTTAATTATAAAGTGTGAGTTTTGGCTCTCCAAATTTGGAGAGTCAAACCCACTCTCTAAATTAGAATATTAATTTAAAGAATATCTTGAAATATAATTTTAAGAATTGACTCTTTAAAATAGAGAGCATATCATATTTAAAGAATCTTTTGAAGATTCTCTCAAAAGAAATATATACAAATAAGGAGCCAAATTTAAATGTGGGTTTTAGATGACACAAATATGTTTCTTCTTCAGTTGTAATTCAAACAATCAAGCTTAATGCAATATTCATCGTGCACTTGGTGTATTGAAGATGACGTAGAATTTGTTGGACATGGACATGGACACGAACACGGACACGGACACGGACACGGACACGGTAATACCACCCTATCAGGAGTGTCTATGCTTCATAGTCAATATATAAGTTCACTCCTCTCTAAACAACATAAATTTTTCGATGGGATGGTTTGAGAACTTTCTAGTACAAACGGTAGACAAGTTTGCCCCAACTTCAATGTGCCCAAACTATAAAAAATAAAAAAACAAAAAAAAAAAAATTGTGCTCTCTACTTTCTAGTACAAATGGTAGACAAGCACTAGCCCGGTATAGTCAAGTCTTGTTATCTCACGCCATGTTACAAACAGTGGCGGATTTAAGGGTTGGCCGCCCTAACTGGATTTGTCGGAGAGAATTTTTTTTTTTATAATAAATAAAAATTTTAGGCTATATAACTGATAGTTCATTTTATTTTCAAACCCTTCTTTTACTTAGTTGGTTAAAGCTTGCATTTTTATATTACAAGTCTTGGGTTCGATTCCTTCCCGTTCGTTTCATTGTGCAAAATTTTTATTTCTACAATATTTACCAAAATTAATTCCCTAAGGAAAGAATTCGAACCAATAACTTCTAATTTAGATGATTGAAAGTTTAACCATCATGACAATGGTTGAATTTTGAATCTAAATTTAACAAAATAATAAATGTTAAGACTCTAGGCAAGTCAATGACTATTTTTTTTGTTGGTTTTTGTCGTTTCAAATATTTTATGCTTTAATAATTTATAAGATTTGACTTATGAGTATTAAGTTTTAATTTATATGTTATTTGAGAATTTGAGAATTTGTCTATTATGAATTGTGATATTAAAAATTAATTTGGGTATTGTGAAATGTGAATATGTGATTTATGAAAATTGAAAATGAGAAATTGGGGAATTTATAATTTGTGATGAATTGGTCTTGAGAATTGGAAATTGAAACTTTAATTATATTTTAAAATTAATTTTAATTACATTTAATCTTTGATTAACGTTCAATTATCATAATGATTATGGAATGATTTTTTCAAATGAATCTCAATCTAGTTCTTGTAGTGGTGTATCTAATCTCTCAATTACTTTTAGTCAAGCAAAAGATTTGTTAAGCATTGATAACACAAAGAAGTTTTATGTATTATGTAATTTATATTATTTAGGATTGTGTTGAAATATAATATGATATATAAATATACGATTTTTACTTTTTAGTGTATTTACATATAAATTGAAGAATTTTTAATATTAATAAACGATATCGCTATACGGCTGTTGACTATCGACAGTCAACGGTCAACGATTAGCGGCCGTCCTAATTGAGTCGAAGTCCTGGATTCGCCCCTGGTTACAAAAACCATCCAGTCTACAATTTCTTTCAATTTATATACTAGACTTGATAGAACTTGGTGTGATGATGCCAAGAGACGTTAGTTCAACCAGTTAGACAACAAGCCTGGTTTTATATCTACGGTAGCAGTAGCACTAAACTTCTGTTCCATATTAAATAGGATGGAGAGATGAATACTATATGGTAGCGGCTAAGAAATTTTCAGGTGTTGAATCAGGATATTCAGAAAGAAACCTTCCTTGTTCCAGGTTCCACCCTAATTGGATCTCCATAAATGCCATAAAAATCTCATATTGTATTCTACTACTACTAGGAAGTTTATCATCCTTAAACTAGAACGAAGTATTCCTTGAGGCCAAGCTAGCATGAGCAGTTGCTACCTTTTTTCCATTAAGGTTCAGTTTAGCTCCGGAATTTCATTCAACACTCAGAAGTTTGAGAATTTTTAGTTAATTGAATTCGTCCTAGCTTCTATTCAAGAATCAGTCTAACATAGAAAATCACGATTGAACAAATAATTCTGAGTTTGGATAAAACATATATACCTGAAGTATATCACCAATATTGATCACGATAGCACCCTCCACTGGCTCCACATCCAGCCACTCCTCTCCAACCTTCACCTGCAACCCGGGGATCTCATTCTGTACCAAAACGGTAAGCACGCCGGGATCCGAATGAGAAGTCAACCCTGCCGTCAATTCGGGTTGCGGGCAATAGGGGTAATAATGTGAAGCCATTATCCTTGCCTCCAAACACGACATTTCCTTGAGAACATCAATATTTCTCAAACCCAATCCTTCACATAGTAGTCCCAATAACTTCTCCCCTATGGCTAATACTCCCTTGTCCCAATTAATTATTGCTTCCTTGCACGCGCTGGGCACGTGGTCCCAGTCCGGCGGTGTGGGGGCGAGGCGGAGCTGCAGCGTGTCCCGCCAGCTTGCCGCCTTTGATTTGTAGAGATCGAAGTTCGTGGAAAAGGCGGCACCGTGGGACATATCCCGGCTGTAATATTTCATTTTCTCGCTCTCTGGAAGCTCGTTGAATGAAGTTACTGAATTCAACAAATGATTAATCGTCTCTAATGGGATTCCGTGGTCAATAATTTGAAAAAACCCGAACGATGAAGCCGATTCTCGTATATGTTGCACGAGGATTTCCCTGGGACACGAGAAGTCGATGACCGGAATAGTGTGTCTGCTCCGGGTCGAATTGGTTGGTGGGAAGGAGGAGTCTGGGTGCACGAAGAAACTTGGTATGGTAGATAGGCCACGGTCTACCAACCCTTTTACACCAATTTTGGATTCATCAAATTCTTTGAGGTGTTTCAATCGATCATATTTCGGACCAGTATCAATTTCTTTGGTGGTTGACATGGTGATTTTTTCTGAGTGAAGTTTCTTTTCTGGCAAGTTCCACCGGCTGGGGTGGCAGAGAGTCGACAATTCACAAGTGAGTGGGTGGGTGATTTTTTTGACTTTTTTAATTACAAATGGGGTCCAAACATTCCCTCTACTTTGGCAGATTTCTATGAGATCAAATTCTGTACATCTGAATTTCCAGTGCTTTCTTTTCTTTCAACAAATCCAAATAGTGGTTAGTTTAAATAAATATGATAATGACGAATAGGGCGGACTCTAGGCAAATCGAAGGTGTGACAATAGCAATTTTGACTACGAGATTGTACTGTCTTGTTTGAAATTGTAAATATATCAAGATTCAAACATTGGTTTGAACTTAATTTTAATAGATCCCTCTACTTATTAAAATCTAGACGGATCAAACTGCTTGTTGATATGAAATTGATTGTTTTAAAACTACTTGATATGGCAAGTTTGGTTATGCTCGATCATTTATCCCGAGGGCTTTTTTTTTTTTAATAAACTTCTGATTTCACACATAGAGTGCTAGAGCATTTTCTAGTCTTGCTACTTCAACATGTTATGATTCATGTCCTCGAGCATGAGTAGTCCTCGGGTATACTTTCTCCTCATAGCCTACGATTGTTGACCCTTTAGAATTCCTATGTAATTAGGACCCTAGCTTAACTATACTACTTAATACTTGACTCCCGCAAGGATTCTATCCCAGAAATAATTATGGCATTGGTCCAATTCCTTAGCCTAATAGGACTCCGTTGAATAGAGATACCCAATTAGTTGAGTCCCACTTGGAGAATGTCGCTTACTACTATAAATACAGGACCATGGGCATCGATCAGATACGTTTTCATTATTCTCCAGTTTATAGCCTTGGGCACATAATTCCCTTTCTGACTTAAGCATCGGAGGGACGACAAGAACATACCTCGTTGTCTTTATTTCAGATATCGAAAGACTACGATCGTGCTCATTCAAAATCCTCAAACTCAGGAAATCACTAGGTACGACTTTTGGTAGCATCATTGGGGCCGTTTGTGGGAAACGCTACCAAAAGCCATGGTTAACACGCGATCAGGTCTTCCTCCCGAAAGCTCATTTGCTCCCATCACTCATCCTGCTGAAAATCAACCAGCTCCTCAAGAAGAGTTGTCAGGAGTGCCCCCACCTCTGCCAGCGGTCGTCACGACCGAAGCCTTTGAAGAGCTTCGTCAGCAAGTGGCCACGCTCACGCAATTGTTAAGTCAAAGAAATTCGCATTCGTCACCAGCGTAAGCAGAGCATGGTGGTTTTATGGCTGATGTTCGAGCCCGACCACCAAACCCTGCAACTGGTGGAGTAGGAACCTCGAGTATTCGCAACATGGCCTTAGGCTCGTGATCGGACGCCATGGATTTCGTTGAGATTGTTCGAATCATTCAAGAAGGAATTACAGCTGGCCTGCAACAGAATGCTCGGGGTCCAACGGGTTTTACCCCTAACACTCCATTCACGCCAAAGATACTGTCATATCCCATGCCCGACAGATTCAAATATACTTGCATGAAAGAGTATGATGGGACGACCGACCCAATCAACCATCTCAATGTATATACTGATGTCATGAATTTACAAGTTACGCCGGACCAGGTTATGTGCAAAACCTTCCCGCAAATGCTGATTAATGCGACTAGGGATTGGTTCTCGACATTGGAACCCAACTCTATAGCCTCATTCTCAGATTTGGCTAATAAGTTCTCGGCCTTCTTTGCAAGTAGCAAGCGAATCAGAAAGACTGCGGCCTCTCTCATGCAACTTTGCCAGGGACCAAGTGAAACCCTACGAGGATTTATGACGAGCTTTAACAAAGAAAGGCTTCAAATAACTGACCTTCACATCGCAGCGACTGTCTCCGCCCTCACTTATGCCATAAGATGTGAAGCTTTCAAGATATCTTTATCCAAGACCCCGTCGCAGACAGTGACCAAACTCCTCACCCGAGCTGAAAAATACATTAATATGGAGGAAATACTGAATCCAAGAAGACATGGTCCTTCTCATGAAAAGGCCGAGAACAAGAAGCAACATGATCCCGTTTCCCAGACAGAGTATCCTCGGGAAAAATGCAAGAATGAAGGTCCCCCAGGGCCCCTCACCCGATTAAACACCTCCAAGGCAAATATCTTAATGTAGATCAAAGATATGAAAGAATTAAAGTGGTCTTCAAAAATGAAGTCACCCCCCGACACAAGAGATAGGAGCAACTATTGTGAATTTCATCGAGATAATGGGCATACCATGGAGGATTGCCAAGCTTTGCAGCGAAAAATTGACGCTATCATTAAAAGAGGACTCTTAAGGAATTACATTGGTCATGATAAACGCCCGAGGAATAATCGTGACAATTGGAGAGCCTGGAGCCGGAAGCAGTGCTTAACCCACTGTTGGGACCATTAATATTATCGTTGGAGGCATAGCATCTGGAGGAGACTCAAATAGTGGGCGAAAGCAATATGCCCGCTAACATGCTCATACCTCAAAAGAATCCCATAACAAACTCGAAATTACCTTTGGAGCAAGAGATTTGGAAGGAGTATCAGATCCTCATGACGATGCCTTGGTCGTCTCTGCAATTGTGGTTAACTTTGAAGTAAAGAGGATTCTGGTTGATAATGGGAGTGCAGCAAACATACTCTGACAGGAGGCTTTCGCTAAAATGGGGTTCTCTCTCAAACAGCTAAAAGCAGTAAAACTCCTCTACAGGGATTTGGTGGTGGAGTCATTATCCCGGAAGGCATCGTCGAGCTTCCGCTTACGTTAGGTTTTGGTGAAGTACAAGTGACAGAGATCACACCCTTCCAAGTGGTTAATACTCCTATGGCTTACAACATCATTCTCGGAAGGCCCCTACTGAACAAGATCCAAGCAATTTTATCAACTTTCCACCTGGCCATGAAGTTTCCAACAGGCCAGGGCATTGGTGTAGTTCGAGGGGACCAAACAACTGCCAGACAGTGCTATGTTACTAGCTTCTGAGAAATGAGTACAGACGTCATGCAACTTTCAGACCTCGAGCTCGAGCCAAGAGGGAGACTTGCCCCGGTCGAGGAATTGGAAGTGATCGAGCTCGAGCACGAAAAAACGGTGATTATTGGTCGAGATCTCAAGGCCAGCCTTCGGGACGAAGTCATCAATTGTCTGTCTCACAACATCAACATTTTTGCATGGAAGGTTAAGGATATGTTAGGGATAGACCCTGAAGTAGCAGTCCATAGACTCAATATAAGCAAAGGGGCCAAACCTGTTAAGCAAAGGAAGAGGTAGTTTGCACCGAAAAGACGTGTGGTCATTCAGAAAGAGGTTAACAAATTGGTAAGAGCGGGTTTCATAAGGGAAGTCCAATACCCTGATTGGCTCGCTAATGTTGTTCTTGTAAAGAAGGCCAGTGGCAAATGGAGGGTCTACATCGACTTTACAGATCTCAATAAGGTGTGCCCTAAAAACAGCTACCTGCTACCTAGGATTGACAATCTTGTGGATAGCACATTCAGGCATAAGCTATACAGCTTCTTAGATGCATTCTCAGCTATCATCATATTCTCATGGCCGAAGAAGACCAAGAGAATACTTCATTCATGGCTGATTCAGCCATATATTGCTATAGGGTGATGACATTCGGGTTGAAAAATGCTGGGGTAACCTATCAGAGGCTCATCAACAAAGTCTTCGCTGATTTGATAGGGAAGAATACTGAGGCCTATGTTGATGATATGGTGGTAAAGAGTAAGAATGTAGAGCAGCACATGTCCGACCTTGAGGAAGTGTTCGCCACCCTACGAAAATATCGGATGAAGCTCAACCCAGAGAAGTGTGTATTCGGTGTGGCTTCGGGAAAATTTTTGGGTTTTATGATCACTTATCGGGGGATTGAAGCGAACCCTGATAAGATATTGGCCTTGGCCGCAATGGAATCCCCTAAGACAAAGAAAGAGGTTCAAAAGTTGACAAGTAGGGCAGCAGCCCTAAACAGATTTATGTCCCGAGCAGCAGACAGGTGTTTTTCTTTCTTCAAAGCTCTTAGAGGCAGCCAAACTTTTGAATGGAATGAGGAGAGTGAGAAGGCTTTTCATGAGCGCAAACAGGCATTGGCATCCCCTCTTATCCTCACTAAACCAGAGCCCAGGGACACTTTGTTTTTGTACTTAGCCGTGTCACAGAACGCAGTGAGCGACGTCTTGGTGAAAGAGGTAAACAAAGCCCAGCAACCCATTTACTATGTAAGTAAAGTCCTACTTAATGCAGAGACAAGGTACACTTTGGCCGAGTAGCTTGCCCTTGCCCTGATAGTAGCAGCACGAAAGATTCGACAATATTTTCAATCTCATCCCATTGTGGTGCTCACTAATCAGCCTTTGAAACACATCCTTCAAAGGCCAGAAGTCTCAGGCAGGTTACTAAAGTGGGCTATTGAACTTGGAGAGTTTGACATAGAGTTCAAACCCCGTCCGTCCATCAAAGCCCAAGCCTTAGCGGATTTCATTACAGAACTCACCCTAAAGCCTCGGGGGCCAGAAGATAGCTCGAGCACTACAACAGATGTTTGGAAAATTTTCGTAGATGGAGCATCAAACTCCTCGGGCTCAGGCGCAGGTGTTATCATAACGAACCTGGACATGCTCATGAACATTCAGTGTGCACTCAACCAACAATGAGGCGGAGTATGAGGCTGTTATCATAGCCATGGAGCTTGCCATTAATCTCGAACTTGAAAACATCAAAATTTTTAGTGATTCCCAGCTGATGGTAGGTCAGATTGACGAAATGTTTGAGAAGAAAAACGAGAAAATGAGCTTATACTGCTTAAAAGTTCATATCTCTGACGAAAATTAAAGACGTGTGAAATTGTAAAGATTGCCCGGGCTGACAACTGCAAGGCAGATGCTTTATCAAGGCTGGTATTTATGGGAGTAGATGGACTTGACAGAACAGTACATGTCAGATTTGTGACTGAGTCTAGCATCAATTCAACCGTTGGGATCATGGACATTGATCACGAGCCGTCATGGATGGACCCAATTGTGGACTTTATAACAAATGGCAATCTTTCAGAAGACCCTCGGGCATCAAGGAGCGTTTGGTCAAAAGCTCCAAGATATTGCATTATTGATGGGGTCTTGTTCCGCAGAAGCCTCACACTTTCGCACCTTAGGTGCCTTAAGCCTTCATAATCTTCCCAAGCCCTAGAGGAAGTTCATGAAGGGGTATGCGGGAACCATCAAGGAGCTTAGGCATTAGCCTTCAAACTCATAAGGTACGGGTATTATTGGCCTACCATGAAGATGGATGCCGTGGAATATGTGAAGAAATGTGATAAGTGCCAGAGGTTTGGCAACGTTATCCATTCTCTCGTAGAGGACCTCACTAACATCAGTTGCTCAGCCCTGTTCGAGCAATGGGGGATCGATATCCTCGGCCCGTTTCCAATAACTAGAGGACAATTGAAGTTTGTGGTTGTAGTAGTGGAGTACTTTACGAAGTGGGTTGAGGCCAAGCCCTTGGCAACGATCTCAGAGCCTAAGATAAGAGCTTTTGTTTGGAAGTCCATCATATGCAGGTTTGGGATACCAAAGGTCCTCATAACTGATAATAGCCAGCAGTTTGACAATATGCAATTCAAGGATTTCTATTTCAACCTAGGGATTGTGTAATACTCCGAATTTTGTGCTCATTTAATTTTTAGAATAGCAATTCAAATTTTCAAAATTTAGTATGACCAAAAAATTATTTATGGTTGCCAAATTTTGCATTGGTTGATTTATTAAAAGTTTTTCCAAATAATTTGTTAATTAGGGGTTTGGGATAAATGTCCATTTTACACCTAATTACTAAAGTTAAACATTGTTCCTCCAATTTGGCCGAAAATTGATGAAACATTAATGCATGAGGTGTTTTAAATTTAAGCATGAGGTGACTAACTAGTGCATGAGGTGTTTTAAATTTAAGCATGATGTGACTAACTAATGCATGAGGTGTTTTAAATTTAAGAAAGTGAAACCATGCAGCCTACACATGTCGAATTTCTTGAAGAGTCACCCAAAATTTATCATTTTTCTCACCCATAAATAGATGTGTTGCTGCCCTTTATTTCCCTTGCATGAAAAACAACTTAACACTTGTTTACAAAAGGGCAGAAAAGGTGAGGGAAGAAGATGACCAGCCTAGCATTTCTCAATTCATTTTCAACCAAGATTTCTTCAAGTTTTATTGTAAGATACTTTCTATGCTTAAGTGGTATGATTTCATGGTAATATTTATGCTTAAGCTATGCATGAAAAACCATAATATGAATGTGGTGGACAAATCCAAAAAGTTATATATCTATTTATGCCTTAGGACAAGTCCGTAGGGCACCGGTAAGTCGGAATGTGCAAGTATGTGTTTGATTGCATTCTTTTGTGTAGTGTTAACATGTTAAAATCCAAGCATGGTATCTTACTGAGTATTCTTTATGCTCATAGTGTTTTATACTAAATTCTCAGATTCATAATTGCGAAGTTGGTGGAAGTCAGTCGGCATAATTGATGATGGATTAGAGACAAGGTTGTTTTGAATCGAAGTTTTGTTTTTTGCATGTTTTGTTCGACTGCTTTCCATATGTTTCTTATGGTATTGCATAAAAACATGTATAAGACATGACGTAATATGGTACCGAAAGTAAATTATGCAATTATATCTTCTATGTTGTGTTAAGAGACCTTTTTTTTAAAAAAACTTCTCCTTGCAAGTGACAAAAGGCAGAAACGGGACAGTTTTTGGGTCAAATTCAACACGTTATTTTTGACTCCATAAACGTCCATTTGAGACTCTGAAAATATTAATGCGTTCCTCATTGAGTTTTCTTAATATGGGCATAAGAATCACTCAATTTGGATATCTGTAGCCTGAGATATGAATTTTTAAACGTTGAAGAGTCAAATCTGAAATTTATATGCAATACCTCACTGTTTTCAGTAAAACGCCCATATTATATGATCTTGGAATTTTTTTATATTTTAACCTAGAAAACTGCTTGAAAATGGAAAACGCCCATATTATATGATCTTGAAAATATATTTCTAATGTTGTAAATTTCATAGAAAATGGAGTTGGGATGAATTTTATAAAAATAGTCAAACTTGCTGCCCCAACTAACC